ATACCTGGCGTCCCAAGTACACCAGCAGCTGCTCTCCTCTAGTCTCATTATACGAGCTGCACTGTACTCATGCAGAATCCATGCATGAACCTACGTGGACACAACAGGCATTATTACGACTGCACGATACACAGATAGCATGTTGCCTGCCCTTCTTCGATACCGGTAACCGGCATATCGGTCCCTCTGTATGCCTCTATACATGCGCTGGGTTGTTCTGTTGACCAACGATCTAAACCCAATCCGAGCACACAATTGTAGCGTTGTACACACAATATAAAGGCATCCGCATCCTTGACAACAACTAGTAGTAATTTGCGGTCTCCCAGTTAGATCGCGCTTGGCAGTAGTCGCAATGTTTTTTTGAACATACATGGTTCTGGGGCATTTCTAAGTGCGTTTCCACGCGGAGAAACCGTTTCGATGAGCATCGACGCACCATATTTGCGGCAAACGCTTCTCGAGGCCGCGAGCGAAGGCGATATTGACGTAATTCTCGAGACCCTGGAAAACGGCGCGTCTATAGACGGACTCGTCAACAGCGTCGAGCCTGGGTCCGGCTTTACAGCCCTTCACCACGCGTGTGTGCGAGGTGATATCGAATTGGCGTGCTTCCTACTTCGACACGGGTCGGTCACGGACGTTTGCGACAAGGTACCCATGTTCCAACGACCATCTACCTCTTGAATAACATCCCGTATAGTTTCGCAAGACGCCGTTGCACTACGCATGCCATTTTGGCCATACCCAGGTACACCCAGACGAACAACGTCAGCGGCGATTATGTACAGAACATAGGTTGCCTTTGTCCTATTGGACTCGGGTCGTGTTGACGTTCAGAAACTCTACGACAACAATGTACGTACAGTTTCTAGAATACATTTTGTCATTCGTCAATGGAAGGAAGCCAAGCTAACGTGCCTACAAACGGCTGCCGCGCGCGGCCATACAACGATCCTCCACCTTCTGCTCGTGCACGGCGATTCTGTTGACGGACCCAATGAGGTTGACGTGTGATTATTTCTTGCTCATTCAATGTTTCGGTGTTTAGGCTGGGGAGACAGCGCTGCATCTCGCCGCAGCAGAAAATCACTTCGACGCTGTCGTGGTTTTGCTGCGGTGCGGTGCCGACATTGCCGCGCGCACACCACAAGGAGACTCGCCGCTGCACTACGCGTGTCGCGCCGGTGCCATGTCCACGGCATCGCTGCTCGTGAGACTTGGTGTCTCAATCCATCTGACAAACGTGCGTTTCCATTTCGAGCCCAAATACTTGAGCTATCTTGCGTAGACGGACGACCCGCCACGAAGCTGCTTAGAAATGGCGCGCGTGTTTGGTCACTCGGTGCTTGCCAACGCCATTATCGCGGTGCAAATGAGCATATATTTAGTTTACGCCGCGTCCTATGGTGACACCATGCCACTACTGTAGGAAGCCCAGCAGCGCCGAGATCTTCTCACGGGTGAGGACGCTGTTCGTGTCCGCGCAGCCACCGCAGCTCTCGAAATTGCTAGGGTACGTATATTGTGCGAGGTCACCTACAAAATCCGCAATACGATGTTTTCGGTACTTCCGATAGGCGACATGCCTGGAGGCACAAGCGCGCGTGAAAGAGCAAAGGGCAGCTGCGGCTTGGGCTCAAAAAGTCGATGAACGGCGGGTGCACGACGCTTACTTGCACATGGTCTCTAGCTGATTGAATGTGCATGGCAGGCCATCGGTCTCTACCTTCACGATGTCCGGACCGGCAAGTCGATCCTCGAGGCGCTTCGAGCTTTTGACGCATTTCCGCATTTGCAAAAAGTGTAGCAGTGTTAACAACTAACTTTTCATATATAGAAACAGCCACAAACTATTGTTCAACTGGAGGTGCACTAACGTTAGCGAGAAGCAAATCATGGTTGGCGACTGTGTAGTTAGCAACTTGCTCGGCCGTCAAATCGACGCGGACGCCGTACTGCACAAGGACAAAGCGAGTGAAGTCGTCGGCGGATGTGGCTATGAGGCGTCCATTGCTCGAGACTACTAGCGGTTTAAGCCCTGGGAGCGAGTACCTAGGGCAATTGTCGTGTTCATCCATAGAAGAGAGATGTAAAGGACCCAAACGTCTGTACGATTTCGTCCAGACGGCCTTTCCATGCAGCTGGAAGGCAAAACTCTTTCTCAATCGTAAAATCGGGCATACTCATGGCGAGGATATCTACGATTCAGAATTCGGTGCAGTCTGGTGCAAGCGAGTCGGGCGGTACCCAGGAGACGCTCGCAGACCGTGACCTCTTGAGAGTCGACGCGGCCCGCGATAGAGTAGTGCACCATGTCTTGTGTCGAAATTTGCGCAAGCGACGCGTTGGTTGAAGGAAATCTACTTCTAATTTTACCTAGCAGTTGCAAAATTGCCCGTTCCATGCCGACTTCCGTGCGCACCATCCGCAATGCAGCGACGTTTGCTGCGATTGTGTACCTCTTGGTGCAGCTTGTATCGTCGGTGCCTCACGGCAGCAGCAATACAGCGAGCCCGAACTTAACGCCGCAAGATGCAACCTTCGTACAGCAATGTAAGCGGTACTGCGACCATCACCAAGTGCGCCGAGCGCGGTGCGACGACGATCCAATGCTACTCTGCGAGAACCTTTGCGTGGATTTACAAGCCAACATGACGTACCACTCCTCCATGTGGGGCTCATCGGCCCTTTTGGCTGCCTGTGACGTAGCATGCACGGCGTCGTCTCCACAGTTTTGCCAAGGGCAAGTCTCGTACACGGCACTTTGTGAAGCAACGGCCGTCGCGCGAGCTCAACACGATAAGCAAGGTCTTGGCAACATCTATGTGGCACTGCATGCAAGCCCATCGATTGTTTCCGTGCTCCTTTTAATTGTGATGTCGACGACCGACATTCTTGCCGCGATTGCTGCGTACAAGGCCGCGAACTTTACGTCGAGCGACACCACGTATGAGCCCGACTCGCTCGACGCAACGGCGTCGCTTGTGCGTAAGGTGTTGCGCGTAGCCGAGTTGCCGGAGCACGTACTCATCGTTGCCAAAACAGCGTTCGAGATTCGCAGTCTGCTCTTTGACAATTCGTGCGACCAAGCGCTTGGTGTTATCTTGGTGCTTCAGTTTCTCATCTGCGTGGTTCAAGTATGCGCAAAGAAGTCTTCGGTGCAGTTCCCAACTATCACGATTGATTTTGGGCACCCTCCGCACGACGAAGGATTTGCAGGCACGGCCGATCAGAAAAACGAAGGCCCCCATACATTAAAGACCACCACGACCGCAACTACAGCGCAGAGTCGCACGGACTCCAACCAACACCAGAATACCCAAACGACAACAACAACAATCCAAGTTCCCGAACAGCCTACAACTCAATCCAACTACGAAGCCCAGCCACAAACAACTACACCACCCGCTCAAATGTCGTCGGTGCATCCAACAGCAAAACCACTCGGTCGTCTAGCTAGATTTGGAATCGGCAAGTAAGATCACGAATAACATCGATATGCC